GAAGGCCTTCACTTGTGTAAAGTAGTACATGTGTAAACTTACATAATTATTCTACATTGTTCTATACTGTGATTATCACTATTAATATAGTATTTGTTAATCTTTTGCCTTGAAGTAGTGTGTATTGTCTCAGACTATTCAGAGACTTGCATTAGTAGCTGCAGTTTGGTAAACCATGTCGAGACAGAAAGTTTGTTAGCATTTTCCAGTACTCCAAAATAGGAAGAAGTTTTGTTTGTTCCATCAGAGTTTTCATACTGTATGTTATCTATTGGCTTTTAAGCTGCATATATACCAGAGTATTTGCAATTTTCCTTTATTTCATGGGTCTGGACAAATTAAGGGGAATTTAATTTCTTAACATGGTTATGATGTACTTGGTGTTGGCACCATTGGAAGAGCGCCAGCGCTAATTATGTTTGTTACATGAGTCTCAGTGCTGTTGAGGCTGACATTGGCAGGCAGATGTAATCTTCTACTTTCTCTTGCAGACATGCCAAGATTTCTTTGTAGATTTGARAACCTTCATGCTTTTAGCAAGATAAAATGATTTTCCATGGTATGGTTCTTCTAACTGGTCCCATTGGACAGGGTAATGAATTTGAAACTCTGTGGTTCACACGTGACATTTTCATTCCTAACAGATTTTCCCCCGATGATGAGTAAATATACTTGATGTCTTTAAGGAAATATAATGTGATATAATATCTTCATATCACTAAAGATACTTTTAATTATTACATTATCATTGATGTGGTACTTGGGGACAGTAGTCTGGGTGAGATATAACAGTTTTGTAAGTGACAGTAAGCTTTCCATGTAAGAAAAGACACAAACCTGATCGGAAGATAACAACAATRGAGTGAACAGAAGCAGAGGACACTAGCACTTCACTGCATATAGCTGTTAAGAAGCTATGCTTTGCATACACAGAAGCATTTTGATTTACAAAGGCTACTGTATATCCACTTTTGTATGCATGCCATGTTTCATTTGGACTCATTTGGACAGGTCATACRCCACATGGACTACAATCAGGGCATATGTGAGCATCGGTTGCCAGTTGCGCTTGCTGGTTATACATTTATGGATACTTATGCATGCACACATATTGATAAAGAAAGTGTTAAATGATGGGTTTAAAGAATTATTACTCTAAAAGTGTCATTGTAATGCAGTTGGGAAAGACAACAAGCAGGGAAAAGCACTGAGTAGCTGAAACAGAGGAAATGGAGTTAGATCAAAATTAAAATGGTGCCTGTTAAAGAGCTGCAGTTGCCAGGCTACTGACACTGCAGTTTTGTGTGTGGTGTGACATAACACTCTGTCTTTTCTCCTGCATCCTGGAGTAACTGCATTATTTTGTGAACATCAAGGTTTTGTTCCTCCATCTGTCAAGTCAAGTGATTTCATTCTACAGTCAGAACAATATTTTCCGTTTTTGGGACCAGCAAGGTATTAGAATGAACAGGGAAATTCTAAAGTGGTTTGCAGAAAATGATACCTATGCTAAGGTAGGGATTACTAGGCATGTATTTTAAGTTTTTGATATAAAGCCATGGTATGTATCTAGTCAATTCAATTCTTATTTTTAAATAAAACTTACAATTTACCAGATTTCAGTTTAATGTAATTGGCTGKTTTTTTTTTTTCTATATTTAGCAACAAGGAAGGACCTAGAATCTTGCCACTTCTGTCAATTGAAGAAAAAGGGTTTTGTTGTCTCCCTCTTTCCTTCATCTCCTTGGAAACTGTGGGCACACGCTGCTAGCTTTCCCAATATGGTATACATTTTTTACATGCACAGGGTTTTTTCATTGCATACTTAATAGTCCAATGTAATTACTTCTAAATGCCTTATTCTAAATAAAATGCTTTTTTACAAAGTATTAAAGAATCTCCATTGTATAAAAATGCACCATATATGAAATCATGGATATTTTCAGTTATGCTGTGTTTCTACATTTTTTGTCATTTTGTTCAGGCTGTTCTCATGAATACTTCTTTCTCTTTTATACTCGGCTTACTCTGTTAAATATGCTTAACAGAAATCTGTAATGTTTGAAAAGATCTGCAGGAAACTGCTTTAATGCACGACAGCTACAAGAGAGCAAGTATGCTGCCCAACTGCCATTTCTTCTAGTTACTATGACGCTGAATTTCAAAGCAAATGCTTCCTCTCGTAAAATGGGACATCGTTACAAATAGCAGGAAATAATAGCAAGTTTAAAAACAATAAATATTATTAAATAAAATGCAAATTTATTTCTGTAATAAAGCTCAGAATATTTTACATATGTAACTTTTTTACATATACTTAAATAGGGAAAATCTAGTAAAAGTTAAGAATACTTATTGAGCATGAATTCTTAACTCTGTGAAGTAATGATATATTACAAAGCAACATTTTTTATCTAAAATTCAAAAATTTCATCTGTTAACAGGATTTTTTTATAAAGATTGCTACAGAATCCTACAAGACAAATCTGTTGTTACTCTGAAAGAAAAATCTGTGGAATTCTGTTTTAGCATTTATAAGAGGTCTTAGCTTTATGATTAATTTTGCCTGTAATCAGTCAAACTGCAAATTCAACAAGACTTATGCTATATTTTCTTACAGATTAAAACTTAGTCAAATTAGGAATGCTTTGCTCTCATATGACAGGTAAAAAATAGTACGTGTACAAAATGAGACAAATCTTTTAATGTTATGAAGTAAATACTTGTGCACTTTTAGGTTCTAAATAATTGTTGATTTTTTATCAATCTTACATTGACAGCTTTCAGGTTGTAAACCTGCCAACTAAACCTCTGATAATCTAATATTTTACATCTAATTCTCTTCTACTAAACCGTGGCTTTTTTACATTTCTTACAAGTTTGCTGACAAACCTAGAGTTTTAACCATTGTTTTCCCTGGAATCAAGAAACAGAACCCAATATTTCTAATTCCACGTACTCAGTGCTTTCATAAAATAGTTATATAATCAGCTGGGCTACTTTTATTTCAGAAAAGTGACAGTTATTTCATGGGAACTAGAAAAGTCTGTGTTCTGAATGCCCCAAGTCCAGTTATTTCTCTGCATGTGTGATCTATACATTAATTACACAGAAGGGACCTCTGGAATTTGTAATTTTATTGAATAGTAAAATAACACTAAATGGCAAAATTAGAAATTTGGAGGCTATTTTTGCCACTTGATGGTTCTTTAAATAATTAGATAAATTCCTATCAGTGGGACTCATGCCATTTAGAATATGAGATGGGTTGCAAAGGAGCTGCAAGATAATGTAATTTATAGAAATGTTCTCTCTAGAATCTCTGATTTGCAGCAGAAGTCAGAAGAACTAATATTGACAAACAGAAAGGAAGTCTGCTAGCCAAAGCACTATGTTGCAAAAAAGCTGTATCTTGTAACTGTTTTTTTTTTTTATATTTCTGTTATGCTGTTACAGTATCTTTTACTAAAATTTTCAAAGGTTAAATGTGAGCATTAATTTCGTTCAGTCATTTAGTGCTCACTCAGAATACTTAAGCACTTTAACATTCAACTGATACTGATACTCTGCTAAAGAAGCACCTAAAATCAGTCGCTCTCAATTTTTTTCTTTCTTTCACCCTTTCCAAAGTGAGAGAAACATGATGTCATGGAGTTTGTTGCCTGTATTTATCCATTACTGTTTTCCTGCCAAGCAGATCCACCAAGCAGATGAGAAAAATCAAACCAAAATGAATCATTTATTTTTATCCCTTGTCTATATGCATTTAAATGAAATGTTGATAATATTTAGATTATAAGCTTTTAGTCAATAATAACCAGTAGGTTCCTTTGGGTACTGTAGATCACTATTACACCTGTATAAAGTCTATTCTGTATCTGCCTTAATACTGATGTTGTCCAGAAAAATATTGTATACAAAACTGTATACATTTGATATCAAGTAGGTCAAGAGTGATCTACAACAAGATATCTGTACTAAATTCTTACACCGCAAAGCATTGTGTAAACAATCCTTGTACTTCATTGGCAGTATATAAATACTTGATTGCATTTGAAGTCTCATGTCTTGTTAATTCGCATTTCTTTGTGGAGCTTGAAATGGTACCTAACGCTTGGTAAATTTAACATAACTCTCCTTGTCTTTCAGGATTATAGTCTTAGCTCTTTAACCTAAAGATGTCACTTTCCATATTCCCTATAGTATTTTCCCACATAATGTCCCTCAGTCTGTTAATCTATCCACAGCATAAATATGACCCTGAGACATTCTGTTCCTAAGTAACATATTAACATTTTGCTGAATCAAATGTGGGCTAGGTAAATAATTGATCTGGCCCAGCAAAAGCATTTCTTGCATTTTTATGTTGAAGTCAGTTGTCTCTCTCTGTGCACAGCTGGTACTGTGAGACTTGTTTTGGACCTAGAAGGCTTTACAGTAATGTTACACTAAGTTTTGCTGTTGATTTTTCGTAGCTCACTTCAAATTCTTTTGTTAAACAGTAATAATTAAGGAAGTTTAGAAAGTTTCTCCAGAAAGGATGATGATAATCTGATAAAATAGTTGTTCTATGCAAGTGGTTAGAAGAACTTTTTCCACATGTTGGTTTTATTTAAAACTATTAGTATGTGGTTTGAATGGGAGAGCAGAGAAGGCATTAAACTCTGATAGAGGAAGTACTGAACCAGAAAAAAATGAACATGGGGAACAGTTTCAGCTAGTACAAATCAAGAACTATTCAAATTTTTATGGGCTGCCCCCTTCCCCCTGCTTTAATTTTCTTCTAAATGGATGCTTGTGAATGGTATTAGGCACCCTTTCTTGTGTGGCACTGAAGCCTGAACATCTACTTAGCTTTATTTCAGATACATTCATTTGTACCTCAGGCGAGTTTTATTTTTAAAGTAGATGTGTGTAAATTATGGGAACAAAAATGTATTATTCTGTTCTTAATATTTGGATATCTTATGGTCTAATGAATTTCTGTTTCAAAGGCAAAAATGTCACATGTTAAACAAGTGGGACTTTTAGCTGCTGGATGTCAGCCATGGAACAAGGATATATGTGCTGCTAGTGGGGACAGATTTGCCTACTGTGCTACTCTTGCTGTTTATATTTATCAGGTAAAATTATTCTTGTTTATCAGACTAGTTACATTATATTGCTGTTGATCTCACCTTTCGATAAATGCTGCTGCAAAGCTTTTGGAAGTATGGTTGCTGCTGAGAAGATGTCTATGTAAAGCTCAATATTCCATTCAAGATACCCCTGAAGCTGTATGTGTCAAGAATTATTTTTATAAGACAAGCTCACAGTGCATTAAACATTTGAGATGAATGAAGTTCTGTGATAGCAGACTGGGTTCTGAAGGAACAATTCCATTTGAAGCTGTAGTATAAAATAGTTTTTTGCACAGTGGATTAAACTGCTTCAAGTTGTAGATTCAGTGGCCCACCTTTATTTCGTTTGGAAGCTGAACTCCTTAGCACTGTGGTCTTCGGAAGTTTGCAGTTGCTGTACATCAACATCTAACTGAAAAATAGAAATACTGTGACATGGAATTTTCAGATTGAGAAATACATAAGGAAATAAAGGATACACTTATTTTAATTTTAAGAGTTATACCAGTAGTAGGATTAAAATAAACAAAATTTACTGTGTCCTATTTGGGCATGAGGTTTTTTTTTTATTTTTTAACTACCAGGTAATCTAAAAAATGAGAAGGATTTCAAACTCATTTTTATATTCTTTCCTGCTTAACCCCTTGGAGACTACTTTATGATTGTTACCATGCCTATAAATAAAACATTTTAGGATTGTTTGAGTAGTTATTAATGAAATACAATAATTTATGAGTGACGAGGGTAGACATAATACTTGATTTTGTATAATTGGATATTGGAAAACCTTTCTGTCCTAGTCAAATGTATAAGAATTTAATGTATTGAGATGTGAGGTACTGACAATTGTTAAAGGCGCTATAAATTCATCTGTAAATCTAATACTCTTATATGAACTAACCTCTGACCCAAAGGTACTTAAGTTTACAAAAAATGTATTTCTAAAATAATTTTGCTGTTTGTTTAGCTGGATCACCGCTACAATGAATTCAAGCTCCATGCGATTATGTCTGAGCATAAGAAGACAATCACAGCCATATCTTGGTGTCCCCACAATCCTGATGTGTTTGCAAGTGCCAGTGCAGATAGTTTAGTGATCATTTGGAATGTGAATGAACAGAAAGTTGTGGCCAAGCTGGACAATACGAAAGGTATTTTAGACGTGGAGATCTATTTGATGCATACAGCTTGATGGATGGGTATGAGAAGTACTTGATGTAGTGTAAATGCTATAGTTGGTAGGTCAGAGTTTTAACAATTGCCTTACGCCATATGCTTGTCAGATTTGTTGCAGTCTGTTATAGAAACTAATGATAGTGTGTTTGAGTAAATTGCTGTGAACCATCTTGTAATTGGTAAAGAAAGACGTTATTCTTTTTCTCCAAAGAAGTTGAGTAGTTCAAGAATAACTTTGCTAGTGGTTTCTTGTTGAGCAGGGGAAAAAAAAACAAAACCAACATTATTATCATCACTGTATAAAAGGATAAATAATTCAGTTTTAAAATAATAAATTTCATGATACCTTTGGGTAAGTGAAAACAAATAAAAGGTAGCCTTAACAGATTCAAGTATAAATCATCAGTGAATTTGAAAAACAAATTCAAATACCCTAATACTTGTCTACCTGAATTTTCTCTCAGGTCTTGAAATTGCTGGAGATTGTATTACAAGTCTAAGGGGTTAAGCATCTGTGTTACAGTTATATTTCCCTGTGCAGTTCAGATTTATTCCATTTAGTCAAAACCAGTACCTGTATTTCTGTTCTTACAGTCAATCCCACCAGGTGTCCTTGACTCCCACATATTCATTCTTGCAAAGTGAGTGCAACCCCAGAACAGTCAGAATCCCAGGATCTAATAAGCCATTTGGGACTCCATAGTCTGTTCTTTCCAGAGCATTTAGGGATACCTCTGGAAATCTTGTGTATGTCTTGCATATCATGAAAAGGAAACTCCATGCTCCTGTAAATAATGACATAGTGTATCAGCTTATGCATGAATATAAATACTGGTACTTATTTTTTAATACATTGCTTGCTTAGAAGTCTTCAGCCAATGACTACATAACTACTGAAGTGTTGTTATTATTATTTTAATACTATTAAAAACTAATCTAAGATATGTTTAAATCATCCATTAGTTCCTCTTTTAGCCACTTTTATATTGCCATATACAAGTGTCTAAATACAGTTTTAAGTTTTTGGCCTGAGGAATCTGTCATTGTTATTTGTTCCTTCAGGAACACATTACTAGGTTATGAGGGTTGGAGATGTTAAGATCAGAATTCTTAAATGGAACTGCCTACAGTTGGGTGTTAGGCAACTGAATTAAAAYTGACATATGTCCAGAAGGAAGCTGTCAAGTAGGAAGCTGTCAAGAAGGAAGCTGGTCACTTTTATTACAGAGCTAGCTTTCAAATTTTGTCACAAATATCTGCTTCTGTTATATTTGTCTTTAAATTTCATTGTTTTTTGCTAAAATATGCATTTTCAAATTCTCTGTATTTTACTAGCTTAGTAGCAAATAGCTTACAGTGAAACATAGTGGTAAATGAAAATCTGAATTAATGAAAATATTGTTTGCAGGATCAGGCTTACCCTCTTTCAAATGTGCGCTTGTCTTTGGCACTGATGAAGGACAGAAATCATCAATTACAGCCCATCAAAGTAGTATAAAAGTAATCTGAGAAATTATTTTATTTCCTGCCTGTTGAAGCATGTAGTTTACTTTTACACCCTAAGATGTTCACACAGTTCTCTATATTTCAGTAGAGAAGTTTTTGTGTAGAGCAATTATTTTTACCATTTTTCAAGACAATTGCTGATACTGGGTCAAGGAATACTACACTGAATTTCATGTCCTGTTCTTACAAGGTTTACCTGTGTGTTTCAGGAATTCCTGCATCACTTAGCTGGTGCTGGAACGCTGGTGATGCAGTTGCATTTGTGTCCCACAGAGGTCCGCTGTACATTTGGACTATCTCCGGCCCTGACAGTGGGGTAACTGTACACCGAGAAGCACATAGTTTCTTGTCAGATATCAGTCTGTTTAGATGGCATCCAAAGAAAAAAGGAAAGGTGGTATTTGGACACACTGATGGAAGCCTGTCTATTTTTCAGCCAGGTAAAAACTCATACGGTAGAATATGTATTTTCATATGCATCTCTTGTTTTTCTATATGCATGTAATTCTGCACTTTTTGAAAATTAGATTCTAAAAAATAGGTACATACATAAAACTTGTTCTTGATTCATAATATTCCTATTCCTTCCATATCACAAAAATGTTTTCTTACATAAACGATGCAGAGCATTTTCTTTATTTCTCCTCTCTTTTGTGACTAAGATAAGACTGTATTTTTTTGACAACTACAGTAAACACATTTTTTTAGAATAATGACAGCCATGATCTTCTACTTAACTATATTTCCCTGCAAGTTTATTCTTCTGAATGGAAAAACTGGAATCTTCTGCTTACTTTCTTACTTTGCATTTGTTCTGGAGTCCTCTGTTTCATATTCTAGACTCCTCTGCAATTTTATAGGTAGAATCTCATGTCACATTTAATATTATCTTCATGGTTTTGTTCTTTGAAATGATAGATGGGAAAATATTGATTTTTTTTGTTTGAAATCCTCCATGCACATTTGCACATACTTTATAAATAGTGTAGTTCTCTGCTAAGGTGTCATCTTGATAAGCTAATTTGAAGGTAAAATTTCACTTGTTCTCATAGTTGTTTTCAAAGAGAGAATCTGTGTTAGGTTAAATATTTCAATTTTTTTTCCTGACTACTTTTTCTTTCTTGACTAAAAACTGATTTTCAACTTTGTGAGAAAACTTTTTTTCTTTGTGAGAAAATCTGCTCTTTAAATGATGTGTTAATTTTACGTAGATTTTGCTCCAACAGCCATGCAAAATTTATTTTCCTCCAGTTCAGTCTAAGTTGTCATTCAGGATATCACAGGGAATAGATTCTTTTGTTTCTGTAGTGCTGACTGAATTAGCACTGGCATTTTGAAAAGGAAATCTATTTTTTTATGATAACATCTAAGTGTTCAGCAGACTGACACTTTATGAAAAGTCTAGAATGTCTAAGAGTCTAGAATGCCAAAATTGTAGAATGACTGGAATATGAAAAGAGAAATAATAAGAAAAATATTTACAATATCAAAATTATGTTCTACAAATGAAAATATAGTATGGGCTAAAAAAATCTAGGCAGTGGCAATTTTGTACGTACCACAGCTCAAGTTACCGTGAAAAAATTGTTTAAGGAAGATTATCCGTTACTGCTGCAGATAAAGCTACTTGCATCAAGTTATCAAGGAATTCTGCCTTTCCTGTATTTAGGGTAGTTTTCTTTATTGTTGTAATATAACACATCTTCATTAAAATAATTCTAAAATTAAAAATATATAAGTTGTTTCCTGCTCTCAGCATATGTAAGATTCTTTATTTCCAATAGAGAAACAAAAGTTGAAAGCTTATTTGCAACTGGGTGAAAAATTTCTGCATAAATAGCAGACTACACAATGTTTTTTCACTATTATCTACTTAGTTTTCTCTCCCATGGCTGTATTTTTTTTATTAGTTCTAGACTATGCATTAATGTATCAGACCATTAAACGTAAAGAAAAAAATATGCAAGATTTAAGATTAGAACCCAATTTTTAGGGTGATTCAATCGTCATATAGAGCCAAATGTTTCATATAGTTTTCCCTTTCATTTGTTATCAAAATAAGCACAGCTTTCTTAAATGACCTGTGACTCAGTTGCATGATTCATATTCTTCAGGTTTTTTTTCCAATGGAAAATAAAATTTAACAGAGTTTTCGTGAYGTTTGCTTTTAGACTCTTTTGAAGTAGAGGTAAAACTGAATAGCTTCTAGACACATACTCTCTCCTCATACTCTCCCACCAGCTGATTGTGCTTTCTTGGGGCTGAAGTGTTTGTATATGGTTTCAAAGACTCAAAGACTTTTTGCTTTTGGTTCTTGTATAGCTAACTGAAAAATGACATTTCTGCTTCGTTGTCAGTTCTTGTTTTTCATTTTAATGCTGATTTGCAGTAAAACCAAAAGGTGAGCTTTTTGTTTTACAGAGCTGAAATGTAAGCAGAGGACCTTGTTTAAAAGCATGTGAATCCTCGAATTTTTGGCAAATTAAAGCAGTTATCATAGTTCTGATGTTATTCCCAATGCTTCAGAAGAATGAAAAAATTGAATGGAGAAATTGGTTTATGCTATTAGTTGTTGTGAAGACTTAAGATATTTCTTCCATTTCTGGTAACTGATTTTATAAARCTGCCCTAGATGTAATGTGCACAAACCAATACCCAAATCGAAAATTAGATTGAAACTGAATAATGGAAAAAGTCAATTCCCTATTTCTGGAAAGGTGGTAAAAATATTTTTTTTAGTGTAAGATCACAACTTCAAAAATAGAGAACTACTTAATTTGAACTGTACTCTACCTTGTGAAATTAATCTTAATCTCTCTGTGAATTTTTTTTCTTCTTTTTGTAGGTGTCAAACTAGATATTTAATGGTCTGTTTTGGCTACAAAATCTATAAACACTTAATTGTTGCTCAAATAATTTTAAAGAAGGTCTAAAGGCAGTTGTTCAGAAAAATCTTTTTTACTGCTACTGTTTTTTTCTGGTTCATACTGCCTTTATTTTGCCTGTATTTGTAATGGTGTGCAGATTTATTTAGACTCAAATGACTTGTATTTTATACTGTGCTGCAGACCTTTACTCATATAAGTTCTTATAACCATGTATACAATGAAACATACTTTCCTTTCCTATAAATTTATAATAAACCTGACAGCTGTTTGTGTTTTCTGCTGTATTAAACATGAAGCTGAATCTGATGGAAAAATAAGTACTTTTCAGTCAAGTTTTGCAAAGACAGCTTCATTATTTTCACTGGTGCATACATTAGAGCAGGCTAGTGAAAATTTCAGGGAGAGAGAAAAAATTATCTTTGTCAATCTTGTAACTACTGAAAGGATGTACTTGTTTTATTTTTTAAATAATCTGTTTTCTTTGCACTTTAAAGCTTCTAAAAATCAGAAACATATCTTAAGACCAGAGTCTCTTGAAGGAGCAGATGAAGAGGATCCAGTTACAGCTCTGGAGTGGGACCCTTTGTCAACTGATTACCTTCTTGTTGCTAATTTGCATAATGGTATTCGGCTACTTGATTCAGAATCTCTGTCCTGTATCACAACTTTTACTTTTCCCAGTGCAGCAGCATCTGTTCAGTGTTTAGCCTGGGTTTCTAGTGCACCTGGAATGTTTATAACTGGAGGTAAGACTTTTATTTCCTTATTTATACAAAGATAATAAGTACAAGATGAATCTTCAAAATTCAAACTCCAAGTTTGATTTTTCTGTTTCTTAACTTTTTTACAAGTAGAAGCATACATTGTACAATAGAATAGAATTGTACAGAAAAGGCCATAACACAAAACCAGAAAATAATAAAATTACACTGAGAAGCTTTTACTTGTTTTAAAAATTTTAKCTACATAATTGTGTTTCTGCTTTTTTTATACCAAATAGTATTTTCTCATGCCCACTTTAGCAACAAGTATATGAGTTACTTTTGGAATAGGAATAAAAATGCATTTTGCTGATGAGTGTCACTTCAAAGATTAAAAAATTAAAGGAAGAAAAGAATTTATTTCCTGCCATAGACACATAGACATTACTGCTCAGCTTGAATTAATGAACAAGGAAACTAAGACTTGCAAAATATTTTATAATGAGAGAGGTTCCACAGAATTTATCTATGTTTAAGTAGCTAATGTTAATAATGATTGTGGTTAATAGTGATATTGCCATGGAGATAAATGGAGGATGAATCGGATGCTGTGGATGTTGTACTAGATGATCTCCAGAGGTCCTCTCCAACCATAACTATTCAGTGATTTTATGGAATTGACAGTGCCTGCTTATAAAATTCTTCTTAGGATTTAAAGTTTAATTCTTTGTTATATTTCTGCATAAACCAGTCCTCAAACCACATACTTCTGTGTTTTGTTTTTTTAAACCTCAGATTCTCAGGTTGGTGTGTTACGTGTTTGGAATGTTTCACGTACAACACCTATAGATAATTTTAAATTGAAGCAAACTGGTTTCCATGGCTTGCATGTGCTAAGTTCTCCTCCAAAGAAAAAGTGTAAGTATAATTTTCGTTGTTATTAATTGTAATGGCTGCAAGTTAAAATCTTATTTATGAGTCTTTTTATGTCCAGATCAATCTCTGTAAAGTTGGTCAGCTGTGTAGTTCTTAATTAAAGTACCTTCTGCTGCTAGTGGACTAGACAAATGCATAAAGGATTAAGCACTTTATAAGGTCCTTCTTTAACAGGCCAGGCTTCACATGGGAATTCTCCATTTCTTTTGTTTTAAATCTCATTGGAATACAAGCATTTTACTCTTTATAATTTAACTTCTTATGGGAATAAGAAATAATCTTCTCTCTTTGTGTTTTGCTTTATGTTGTTAAGCATGTTCATCACAGTATCCTACTAAAAATCACCATACATCTTCAACAAGTGAGGCTGTTCCTCCTCCAACTTTAACCCAAAACCAAGCTTTTTCTCTTCCTCCTGGTCATACCGTCTGTTGCTTCATGGATGGTGGAGTGGGGCTTTATGACATGGGAGCCAAAAAGTGGGATTTCCTTAGAGACTTGGTATGGTTCATCTCTGTCTTTGAAATGAGTATTTATTTGGCTTATGCACTTTGTTCTAACAGCAAAAACCTGGAGAATTAAGTATTTACAGTACTGTAAAGTAGTTTCTGTTGTTAAAAAGAGACTAAATTTCTAGGAAACAAAATGACAGTTCTGAAGTTGAAGATAATGCTTTATTGCAAATGACTGAATTCTGTTGGGAATATTTTGGCAGTTTGTTTTAAACCAGAAATAAAGATTTAAATACTTGTTTTTTGTTTKTTTTTTTTTAACTAGAATTTTAGTTTGATAAATTTTATCAGAAAATTTTATCTTCTCAGAAATTTTATCTAGCATGTTTTCTATAATTCAGAATGAAAGTTCTAATCAAATTAGAGAGATAAATGGTGAGGGCACTCAGTTTAACATCACGAAGATTGAACTATTAAATTTTCTTTGAAGCTGAAATTAAGAAATGGGTTTGCCATATATTAGATGAATATCTTCTTCACCATGCTTTTGGTTATTCTTGGGGATTTTTCTCTTTTCCACTTTCCAAGTTCTTTTTCATTGAAAAAAGCCCCAAACAAACAAAAAACAAACAATTTTCATCTATACTCCCATATGTGTTTGAATAGAGGCTGCTGGTTGGTTTTCTCTTTTCATTTTTATTGGGTTTGGTCCTGTAAAGCAACTGAGACTTAAAAAAAAAATCCTTATATAATGCCTCTGTTTCATATATTTGCCAACCTAAGTTCTACAAATGCATGTCTTGGAAAACAACCGATTGACACATGAAATCTCTAATAGATTGAAGTTTAACCTGCAGTAGAGCATAGATTGTATCTAGAAACACAGAATATTCAGTGGGTACTAGACAACTTTGGAACACATTTAATATACATGTTCAACATTTTTTCAGTCAGGTACTTTATACCAAAAGTGAAAAAGCATTCATGTTTTAAAAAATTAACCTTTTTTGAGATTAGTTTTTGTAATTGTATTTTTTAGCAACTTAGTTCCAGCAGAAAATGCTAACAAGTTCCTGGCATTGYGTACCCTGTTGTTTCAGGAAATAATTTTTCTGGTTTGAATAATTACCTCTGAAAGAACATGTTATAGTGCAAGTTATTTCATGCCTTTTCATTTTGACTGGTGAGTCATAATATACAGGGATTTTGGAACTCTTAATTGACCTGACAGGTAAATTAAATACAATGCATTTTAGAGTTTGATCTAGAGTTGGATTTACAAAAAAAAAAAATCAAATGTAATAAAAATGGATTAAATATTTGTTTCATTTAAGGGACATGTTGAGACCATCTTTGATTGCAAATTCAAACCTGATAACCCTGATCTTCTTGCTACAGCTTCATTTGATGGCACAATAAAAGTTTGGGACATAAATACTTTATCAGCAGTTTATACATCTCCTGGTAATGAGGGGGTTATTTATTCCATTTCTTGGGCTCCAGGTAAGAATATTTTTCTTTAAATCTGAATGCTCTTTGAACTAGCATTGATTGCAGAATTTGTCATATAAAAATATTAGTTTTATATAGAAGAGCATCTTGCAAGGTTTGAACAAGACTAAATTATCTGTGAAACCATCAGAATTCAATGCTTCAGACCCTGCTGAAGCTTACCCTTCTGAACAATGCTCCTAATATTTCATACTAGTCAGAATGGAGGAGGAGAATCTCCAGAACAATTCTAACATGGCATTACTCAAATGACAAATGACTTGCTTTGCGTGACAAGTAGACACCTAATGGAATTATATTTTGTGCTGAAAAAGTGAAACATATGTATTTGGTTCTTTGTCCTTCTTTGTTGTGTAGGAGTCTAATCACTGAAGAACTCTGCTTTTACCTTATTTGAATAGGAAGTGCCTTTTTTGCAAAGCATCTATTTTTTCTTAGACAAATCACTGAAATCAGTGGGAAATTTTGTTTTCTTAACTGATCTGCAACCCTCTTTGGTGTACCTGAAAATATACTTCTGACAGTTGACAATAGTTGACAATAGGTTGAAGTTCTTGTTGTGTTTTATTTCTTTGGACAGAAGATGTATTTTTAAAAAATCCAAGTAATTCATCTCACTGTTCTCTCTTGCACTTTTAAACTCTTAAGAAATAATAACTGACAGGAGAAAAATATTGTTATGGGAAGCTTAATGAAGTCTGCATATGTGAAATAAATTTTCATTTTTTTCATTTAGAGAGTCTCTTGTACCTTGTTCCTCTTCACAAATAATTTGTCTTGCTGTATGGAAATTATGGCATTATGAAATATGGTGCTTATGTCTGGTTATTTTGAAGTTTTAATCGAATCTGTAGTTGTATCTCACATTGAATTAATAGGGKTTTTTTTTGCTGCAGGAGGGGTGTGGGGTTGTTCTTTTGGTTTGTTTTTTTTAAAAAGTAAATTGGAAGCACGTGCTTCAACTTTGTTCCTTACCATCCTCTCCAAAAGCTCAGTCCCTCCCAGTCAGACCTTTTGTTCTTTCTTCACGTCCCTTGCTCCTAGCCAGTTCCTACTTGCCTTCTACTTTGTTCCTGATACGTAAACCAATGCATGCCACCATTTGTTTGGTTTCAGTAGACCTTTGAAAAAAATTATTACTCCTTTTCCTTTTTTCTTCCCCATAATTTTCCTACCTGACTCTATTCCCTTTTCATATGTTTACAATGCTGCATAGATTGTCTTTTCTGCCTCTGAAGCTTGGAATAAAATAATGGTCAAAGCTTTCATATAAATCTGCTATTTATGAAAAGCATAGCTTTGGAGACACAGCAAAGCTATTGGAATAAAGAGTCACTGTGGTGAGGAGAATTTGGTCGCATTTGGATTAGACCTGAACTGAATTTTCAGGTTCTCACTGTGGAGTTATGTACACAGATTTTCCACCCTGCAGAGTTTGATTACAGATTCAGGTACATTCTTGATGATCTTAGGTGCAGCAATGGTGCAAGATTACAAGAACAAAATACTGTTAGATGTTCTGTTTCATTTTTAGGATTTGTCGTAATACACAGGGAACTTTAAAGAAAAATATTCTAGTTGCTACAAGTTTAAGCTTGAAATACTGAGGTTGCTTCTCTTTCACTTTGAGTCATATGTACCACAATCATTATTTTGTTACGTGCAAGACTTTCATTAGGCATTAGGAATACTTCTTACATCAATACAATTTTTATTTGACCATTCCTCAAAACAGGAATGTAGAAAAACAGGTTAAGCTTTCGCTGAAAATTATTTGTAGCAAATGCTGGCCTTAAACTGTGGAAAACTCATGTTTATGTGCCATTGATGTCTTCTGTTCATATTACATTTCTTCAATTTAAAGTAGAACCACCATCAAACAATATTGCGACCGTAGCATTATTGTAATATTTTACAAACATCTTTCTTTAAAGGAGATCTGAACTGCATAGCGGGTGCAACATCCAGAAATGGTGGCTTCATCTGGGATGTTCGAAAAGGCAAAATGATAACCAGATTCACTGAGGTAAAATGAGATTACTTCATTTTTTGTCTATATGAAGTGCAAGTTAGTCATTCCCTCTAGTGTCCATAAATAGAGATGGCCAAAGTTCATGAGTTTTTAAGAGGTGCTAGTAGAAAAATTTACAGAATTATGTGGGTACCAGTTTACATGTGTGGCAGAAGTATCTTTACTTCCTCTGACTGGATTTATGATATAAGAATGGTGAAGCACCAGATGGTCTCCTTGATCTTAAAATTGGCCCTGTAGGGATACACGTCAGAAGCATAGCTGATTCCTTCTTAAACCTGTACACATATGTGGACATATATACTTGGCATCAAAATGAAAACTGTGTTCTGTATTTTCAAACATAAAAACCAGAAAAAACTTTCAGTCCCTAAAGTCTAGGTCAATAAAGTTCCATTTTGCAGCACGCTAAGCAGTATGACTCATTTGGTACCTTGACTTGTATTACCTGAAGTCTATCGAGACATTTTTAAGTCCTGAAATAGCGGCATCATTTTTATTGGTAGAAGGAGCTGTGTAGTACTGTTCTGTAGTATTTCACCCTATTTTGTGTATTCCTTGTACATAGCTGTGATCTTCAGATTATACAGACAMTTATTTAACTGTAGGATCTGCATCAATGTACAATGGATGCTCTTTTAGAAGAGTGGTGGGGGAGTGAGGAGGAGCATGAGAAGAAAATAAATATACCTACTTTCGGCAGTTCTGGGATTCTGTGACTGTTATTTTCATTCGTGCTACCAAATATATTTTCTCTTGTACTGGTCCTGATACACATCCAACTAAAGTTTTCTCATACCACAATTTTTCATGCCTACTAACTTCATTATTCCAGCAAGTAACTAACCTTTATTCAGAGTCACCAACTGAGTAAAGTTGAAAGGGACCACAGAGGGTCATCTGGTCCAAACTCCCTGCTCAAGCCAGGTCATCCTAGAACACATTGCACAGGATTGCATCCAGACAGTTCTGGAATATCTCCAGTGAGGGAGATTATCTCTCTGGGCAGTCTGTTCCAGTGCTCAGTCACTTCCTCATTGAGGAGAAGTTCTTCCTCATGTTCAGGTGGAACTTCCTGTGCATCAGTTCCTGCCCATTGCCTCTTGTCCTATTGCTGGGCACCCCTGAGCAGAGCCTGGTTCCATCCTCTTGGCACCTTCCCTTCGGTTACTGACAGACATTGATGATCATCTCTCAGTCATGACTTCTCAAGACTGAATAGGCCTAGCTCTCTCAGCCTTTTCTTGTAAGAAAAATAGTTTTTATTACCCCCACTAGACTCTCTCCACAAGCTCCATGTCTCTCCTGTACCGAGGAGTCCAGAACTGGGCTCAACACTCCAGAAGTGGCCTCGCCAGGGCTGAGTAAAGGGGCAGAATTACATTCTGTCACCTGCTGGAATGCTTCCTAGTGCACCCCAGGACATCAGACTGATCTAAAGAAGGTGTTCAATAACTCTGCCTTCTCTGCATCCTCTGTCCCCAGGGTGTCCACTCCATTTAGTAAGGGGCCTACATTATCCTTTGTTTTCCTTTTGTTATTAATGGATTTGAAGAAGCACAACTTGTTGTTCTTGATGTCTTTGGCCAGATTTAATTCCAGATGGGTCGTGGTCTTCCTTATCTCATTTCTACTGGTTCTGACAACCTCTCTGTATTAATTCCAAGTGTCCTCTTTCCAGTCTAGTTTAAAGCTCTCTCAGTGAGCCCTGCAAACTCCTGACCTAAGATCCCTTTTTCTCCTTTGAGACAGGTGGACCCCATTTGTTGCCAGCAGGCTCTGTTGTATAAAGTGACCCATAATCAAAACACCCAAAATTGTGCTGCTAAGACCAGTATCAAATCCAGATGTTCATATACGTGACCTTCTTGTTTCTTGCCACATCATTCCTTGCAACAGGCAGGACAGAAGAGAGCACAGCTTGTGCTTCATATCCCTTGACCAGTCATTCCAAGGCCCAAAGAGAATCTCTTGATTTTCCACAGTTCTCTATTTAAGCTTCAGATTTATGTAGTTGTGGATTGCTCATTCTTCACCTTTCCCCCAGTTTTGTCTCTTGGATCCTGGAACATTATAGCAGTTTGACTACCTGTCTCCATAAGCCCATTCTCCATTATTGTTTTGGACTTGGATTCTTAAACAACCAGCTATATTGGGTATTCATTATGCTATGGTTCTGTACAGTGTACTGTACTGGGAGGAAAGGGCTGAAGCCCATAGGAGAATAAAGTTAAACAGATGAGTCAATAGATGAGAGAAAAAGGGGTGAATTATTTCTTATTGATAGGTATTTTGCATTTTTTGAAGCATGGAAAGAATGGAATCTTCTGCATTGCCTGGAGTCATAAAGATCCCAAAAGAATAGCAACCTGCAGCAGTGATGGATTTTGGTGAGTGTTATTGGAAGAAAAAGAAATTGCTAATTGTGCTTCTCAAATTCATAAATTTTGACAACAGTCTCAGTAATTTAAAAACTTTTCTTATTGGACGAAACTTGAATTATRTTAGTCTTTGTACTTATAATGGTATGTTTTTCAAGATTTTAAGAAGAAAATAAATAGTTCAAAAACTAATTTTACTTGTCTTAATTTTTAATTTTTTGTTTGTTTAATTTTTTGTTTATTTGTTTCGAGGACTAGAAAGTGCTATTTTAGAATGAAGTAATTACAAGTATACCATCACAGGAGTATGATACTCATTTCTAAAAACACATGAATGTCCATTGAGACTGGTTTGGCATATATTGTGTTTCAGTACATTTTAAAAATCCTTCTTCATTTGTTTCCTCTGCTACCTATGTCATTCCCACTCAAACATAATGGGCAGAAATTTTAGAAAACAAGCAACTTCTCATTTTTTTTTCTTCTTTTTTTTTTTTTTTTTTTTTTTTT